TTCAATAATTTTTGTTGAGTATGCTTAGAACTGCACGCTTAGTTCCTGTAAATTTCTAGATTTGCTAGGTATAGTGGACTCACCAGTTACATTGAGGGAGATGTTAAGAAGAGGCTGAGCATAAATTTTTTGCATTGCAGAAAGCAGTGCAGGTCTGACCTCCCCCCCAAATCCCTGAAGCCTTTTGACCGATCCCAAGAGAAAATGCAATCAAGTCTGGCGAGATTCTTGTAACATAGGTGACTAACAATAAAACCTCTGCTTGAGATCTTCCACGAACAATTCTGGTTATTTGTGCCTGATACTAAAGGTGATTTGTACACTTCACTCTGACATAACATGGTTGTTTAATTTCAGCACAATTAACCATTATGGGCTATTCAATAAATCGTAGTTAAACAAAGCATAACTTAGAACAATATATGAATCCAGATGTGAAATTAGTTGAATTAAAAGAAACCTGAATAAAGATGAACCTCTTAATTACATGGACAGATTGTTCTAATTTCCAGGAAAACTAATAATCTTGTTTGATTAAATAGCCTTTAGGGATCTTTTTCTGATTAGTTCCACCTGTTTAGAAGTGGTCATCTCTTGCAGAAAATAAGTCATCGCTGCTTTTACTTAAGTTAGCAACTGTTTCTGTCCCCAGTTATTCCTTAAGCTCCTTGTGGCCAACAGCTCGTGTGTCAGATTTACAAATTTGGCATCTGTCTATAACATGACAACCTTTGTTACATTATGACAGTGTAGAGAAGGAGATGCATGAGTCTAAGATTCTGAATCCACATACATGAGTGCAAAAAGTCAAGGGAAATGGAAGATATATTTCTCAAGAAAAACATTTAGTACTAGTAAAACACAAGGCCCCTTTTTGTACAGGTGGCAGTATTGTACTAGAAAAACATCTGTTGAATTTCACTAACTAAGCAAGCAGGCTATGCCTATGCTAGGATATAAGGCTAGTTATGTTTATTTAAAATATTTTGAAAAGAAAACATGACAAACATTAGTATCTTTGAGAGCTTTTAAGTAAAAAGGCAGGATAAAAATAAACTAACATGGATAATAACATTCTCCAGGAAATAAAACATTCAGATACAACAGAAGATGCAAAGAATAATATGTAAACCAACCTAGATTATGTTAAAACGAAAACTTGCATGTGGCAATACAAATTCTGTCTTTACATCCTTACATCCAATGCAAGTACATAGATGTAGGTTTGGCATCAATTCTGTTTTGTCATATCCTTTACAATATCTGCAATTCCTATGGATAATGGGATAAGGAAGCTGTAGCTATGGCGGGCAACAAGGAATATAATTATGCTGCCATGGTACATTGTGCAAACACTTTTTATGGGGATCCCCCTCAGAAATCCAAACTTAATCCTCATCAATCTGAATGCTAGATTGCCTTGATATCCTATGATAAGCAAGCTTGGTTTTTAATCTAAGGCAAACACATTACTGCATTTCTAACCCAGGGTTTCCGAAATAGGTATACTCTAGCTGACTCCATGTTTTTCTGCTTAAGAGTTATTGACTATGTGTCACAAACAATAAATTGTGCTTTGAAAGGATTGAATCTCATAAAATGAAGACAAATTCCAATAGCTGGATTCAAACCAATGATCTGCTTCCAAAATGTCTATACACCTATTTGCTGGAATAGAATAATTCATGTATTATAAGTGAAAGTTTAGACTAGTAGTATAAGTAGAAATATATTTGAGTTAGGATTTAAACTTGTATATCACTATAGTAACATATTTTTATTGTATGACATTGACCTAATATATTTTAATGATGTGCAGTGTCTAAGGTAGTTGGTGGGTAGTCTAGAAATATAATAAATAAATGAACATCCAGATGGAGGAACCACTCTGGTTTTTATGCATGTTCCCTTTGAATATGTTACCAATGTATAATAATTCTTCCGGTCATACATATTATTTTACCTAAGATAAACTATAGCAGTATCCATCTTGGACAAAGTTTCTTGGAATTCTAATGTCCATTGTTTAAAATTGGAAGCCAAATGATAAATGGCTCTTATCTTGCAAATCATTTATAATCTGAATTTCCAGCCCTACAAATGCTACCTATATGCAATATTAACCTCATTTTCTTTACTTATTCATTACTATCGTTTTGTTGATATATTTCTCTTTAAATTTCACTTTAAGATTTCCCCTTCTTCAGTTGCCTTTGTAAATATCTGGCATAGTTATTTCTACTTTTGTCTTCCTTTGGCTCTTCTAAGATCTGAACAGTTAACTAACAGCAGCCAAATGGTCTACTCCACTATCTAAAGGGCATCAGGCAATTGCAAGAAAAAATTATGAGAGATTTCCACATCACAAACAATTATATCCAAATATACTCTCAATAATCTAAATTGTTCAATTCAATTACATAAAAAGACAGCAAAACTGGGAGAAAAATATATGACTTTCTATTACTATCTTTATTTAAAAATGATTCCCTTAATTAAAGCAGAGATGAGTTTTTCTTTCATAAATGGTACTGCAGATACTATTTAAATAGGACAGACACTTCTGTCCCATATTCATTCATTCATTCATTCATTCATTCATTCATTCATTCGCTCTCGCCTCTCACATGTACACTACAGTTCTGTGTGGCAGAAAGGATGATAGCTACTTATCCTCCTCTTCTTACTTGAAGGAGATACTCATCTTTTACAAATGAAGGGCCAATAGTTCCTTTTTTCAGTGATCTTGTCCCCTCTCCTCCAGTTTGGTCCACCTTTTCTTTTTTCATTCCAAATATGACTATCCCCTTTTCACTCCCTTTCACCATCCCATTTTTCTTTTCTTTTCTTCTTTTCTTTTCTCTTTTCTTTTCTTTTCACTGTTCAGCTGGAATGAAGATGTGTGCATGCACTTACATTTTTATGCAACAGGGAATAATTTTGTGTATGTGCATGCACACACAGAAAGAATTGATTAAAAAAATTGGACTGCCTTATTTTACATAGAACTAGGGATTAATTCAATTTCAGCTTTTATCCTTTTTAAGATTGTGGCTTCTGGCAAGTATCTGTAAACCAGACTAGATATATGTCATATGCACAGGTCCTTTGGAAGGGGAAAAATCTTCCAGGACTGGATTCAGCAGAGGATGGTATACTTAAGTCTGATATAGTAAAAATGTATGCATTAAATATAATAACTGAACATGCTCATAGCTTTTTCATCTCTTCATTTCTTGGACATTGTCTAAAATTTAGGGTCTCTTCCTTACGTGTACCTCAAATATTTGGAAACTATTATGCATTATTTAAAAATATGAGTTCCAAGATCTAAAATAAAAAGGACTCAGCTAAGATAGTGGCGAGTTTAGTACTTGCATAGTACTATAGCCATGCACAGCATGGAGCTGCCTTTCAGTAGGTATTTGGAAGTCTGGCATTTTCAGTTTCAAAACCTTACCTCTATGAACACATTTTCCCTTCCCAATCAAAAAGTTCAGCAGAAGATTGGATCTGATTTGGAAGTTGCAAAGCGAAGGCACTTGGAAGTTTCTTTATGACTTAGAACCAGACATAAAAGTTCCACATCCCACTGTTTTTGATCTAGAACAGGAAAGGACCTCTTCAGCTAGAGACCAACTCAAACACCATCTTTTTTCAAGAAAGGAGGTACTTGTTCCTATTTTGTCAAGTCTGCTAACTACTAATCACTACGTCAAGTCAGAGCATCTTTGGACTTTGTGTGCTTCCTTGGTTGCTGTTGAACAGTTTCCATCATTCTAACTGTGGATGGACAAGTGCAGTTTTTGGCTTGGCTAATGAGATCTGGTAAAATCTGTAGCTAACCTCCCCCACCCCACCAGCCAAACGTAAAGATTCAGATTTGATGGTAATTTTTTTTCCTGAAAAGTAGTGCATATTCAAAATTCTAAAAACTGTAACTGAAAATTCTTGATATATTATCTGCCATAAATATGTGATCAAGAATTCTACAAGTGTCAGGTGAAAAGAAAGTAATTTCTCTGAGAAAAATAGGAATAGAAAAAACTAGCATAGTTACTTACACTGCTAAATCATAGTTTTAATATCATGCATGAATGCATATATGTATACACACACACACACACAAAAATTACAGGTTACTTTACCAGTTAAAAAATTATAGCAGTGACAGAATAATATTCAAAATATAGTGTGAGGTTACGTCCTATTAGCATTAATTCTTATTAACTGAGAATTATATTTCAATGTTGCCAAATTTGGATAAAACTATATTACCATTTCCAAATCAAATATTTACTAGGTTATTTACATTATTTGAACGGATAACTGCAAAGCCAAGGGTACAGTGAAATACTACTGCCTCTGGTTTACTCTTCAGTTCAATTTAAGAAGTAAAAGAGCTACATATTTAATAATTAAAGATGTCCTGTATATTTCCAGGGACATAGTCATTTAAAATGGAATCCACGTATGTATTGAGTATGTATACATGTTTCTAAATTCTGTCTGAACTACCCAGATGAAGAATCATCAAAGCCAGTGCAATTGATTTTCACACACAACTTTACAATTTTTAATATAAGCTATACATTTATAAATATAGTCCCTTTAAAAAAAACTTTATAAGTGCATGCTACTAATTTCTAAAGTGCTATATCATGTGCGAGTTTTTCTGTAAAATTGTATTTGGGGACAAAGTGTTTGTGTGTGTGTGCGTGTGCGTGCGTGCGTGCGTGCGTGCGGTGTAATACTCTTGTGTACCACCTTTACAGTTTTCATACAGAATACCAACACAAATATAAATCACAAAAATCAAAATCTGTACAGTTTAAGATTGTAGTAATAAGCATGTAATCTACAAGACAGCCTCTTGCAAAATCATTCCTATCTTCTGGATATCAGCTGAAGAATTCTTACTTTTTTTCCTCTTAGTGGTAGTCTAATCTCACAATTGAGAGTTTGCACTATAGTGCCTTAAACTGCAAAAGCTTCTGGAAAACCCAAACAAAAAGGAACGTCACAGGGTGACGTCAGCCTATATACAGTTGTGTGGTAGCAGCACATAAGCAAATGCGTTCTGTACCTTAGCCCTGAAAGCTTTTCAGCAAATGCATTCAAGCGACTACAGAAGCTTCTCTCAGTGATAAGCTACCCATCTGCCATCAACAAGTTAAGAGTAAAAAAGCCATAGCTGTGGAAAGCGTTTGCAATTAAGCAGCTGTACAGTATAAGAAAATCTGCCAATCAACTCAGCACTGATTCAGGAATTAACAGATCTGCCACTGGAAATCAAGGTCATGAATTCAAAGGAATATATTGGAAATGGGATGTGAAGTCTTTTTATTTACTCCAGAATCAAAGGAGAGTAAAGAGAGTAAATGATTTAAAAGCTGACAACGTTAGAGCTTTTTAAAGACTCACTGTGTTGAGTCTAAAACTACGACTGAATGCAACCTCCAACGTACTCAAAAGAATGGGTAAGTTTGCATTATTTGACTTGTTTTACAATGTGCAGTTAATCTAGCTTTTGAAATGCACGTTTAGGAAGCAGTACTTTTTTTAAGACTGGGGAACTGTTTATCAGTAAATTCAGTAACTTAGATATCTCTACCAAGATTTTTTTATAATAAAAATTAAAGCTCCAAAACATTTTAATGCATGTCATTATTTGCAGCAATCTTTCTCTTCTTGTTCTAAGCATACCTCTGATACGAATATCCTATTTTGTTGTTTCCCTGAATTATATTCTGCAGGCTTACGTTTCAAGTGGCCATTAGGGGCTCCTATGCTGGCAGCAGTATATGCAATGAGTATTGTTTTTAAAATGCTGCCTGCCTTGGGCACGGCTTGTCCAGCAAAATGCCGTTGTGAGAAGCTGCTCTTTTACTGTGACTCTCAGGGGTTTCACTCAGTGCCAAACACCACTGACAAGGGCTGTCTAGGTTTGTCATTGAGGCACAATTTTATTATGGAACTTGAAGGGGATCAGTTTGCAAGCTTCAGTCAACTTACCTGGCTTCATTTAGACCATAATCAAATTGATACAGTAAGAGAAGATGCTTTTCAAGGACTATATAAACTCAAGGAATTAATTTTAAGTTCAAACAAAATATCTTATTTACCAAACACAACTTTCAGCCAGCTGCTTAACCTGCAACATTTGGATCTCTCTTTCAATCAATTATCTGCTTTGAATCCTGAATTGTTGTATGGCCTTCGTAAACTGCAAACCCTGAGTTTACGTTCCAATTCTCTGAGGACTATTCCAGTCCGCCTGTTCTCAGACTGTCGTAGTTTGGATTTTTTGGATTTGAGCACAAATCGCTTGCGAAGTTTGGCGCGCAATGGATTTGCAGGATTAACCAAACTAAGGGAGCTTCACCTAGAGCACAACCAGCTGACAAAGATTAACTTTGCTCACTTCCTTCGGCTAAGCAATCTGCACATGCTCTTCTTACAGGGGAATAAAATTAGCAACCTGACTTGTGGGATGGAATGGACCTGGAGCACTTTAGAAAAGCTAGATTTGTCTGGAAATGATATCAAAGCCATTGATACGACAGTTTTTGAAATAATGCCTAATCTTAAAATTCTCCTAATGGATAACAACAAGCTAACCACTCTGGAGTCCAAGGTTTTATATTCACTTAAATCCCTAACGACTGTGGGTCTCTCCAGCAACCCCTGGGAATGCAGCCCCAAAATATGTGCACTAGCCACATGGCTCAGTGGCTTCCAAGGTCGGTGGGAATATTCCATCCTTTGTCATACCCCAAACCATACCCAGGGAGAGGATATTCTAGATGCAGTTTATGGTTTTCAGCTTTGCTGGAATTTATCGACTGTTGTTACCCCCATTGCTACAACTCACAGAGCTCCAACAACTGAATATACAAGGCGAATAAGCTCCTCAAATTTCCATGTGGGAGATAAAGAAATTTCAACCACCACAGGCATACCCTTTACCACAGAAGAACAGATGCCTGAACCAAACAATGTTATCTTCACCCAGCAGGTAATTACAGGAACAATGGCTTTATTATTTTCTTTCTTTTTTATCATTTTTGTAGTGTTCATCTCCAGGAAGTGCTGTCCTCCCACATTAAGAAAAATTAGGCAGTGTTCAATGATTCAAAGCCACAGGCAACTACGATCTCAAACACGGCTGCATATGTCAAATATGTCAGACCAAGGACCATATAATGAATATGAACCTGCCCATGAAGGACCCTTCATCATCATTAATGGCTATGGACAATGCAAATGTCAGCAGTTACCCTATAAAGAATGTGAAGTGTAATATCTACAGGTAATCTAAGAACACAAAGGAGATAAACTTATTTTAAATTGCAGGGATCTGATACATTTTTAAAAAACTCAAATACTGAGAAAGCCTAGATTTTTCTAAGCAACTTGTTTTGAGTGATGCAGTAGTATTTCAGGGTGTTGGTTTTTTTTTTAAATAAACCCACAATATTTTCAGTGTTTAAATAACAGTGTTGGCATTACATTTGCATTCCTGATGTTTGGAATCTAAATATGCTCAGCCCAAAATATGTATATTGTTTCATGTTATGTAATTATATATGTAATTTTTTATTTTTTTACTCCCAAGCCTCCAGATATAATTTAGAAAAATAATTTGGATGAAAATATTGTTGGGTATCTATTTAATGGACTTAAGGGGGAATATTTTACCAAATGATGCATTGTAATTACTAAATTTTACCAACATTTCAGCCAGTTCAGTGTTTCACGAAGTACATACTAACCAAAAAACAAAAAGGTACTTTCCTTAAAAGATTGTTCTGTCTTGTGGTCTACAGTACAAAGGTGCAGAAAAGAGATTTTCCAGTCTACTACAGCATGGAATTTTAGTACTATTTTAACTCCATAGTAAGAATTCAGAATTCTAAATGTGTTGCAAATTCAGAATATAGCTACTGCCACTTCTGAATAAAGATCACATTCATTACTTCAAAATATTAACCTGCTCCAGCTATTCAGTAACATTTAGTGTGGTCTCCAAATATTACACGAGCTTCAACTTTTGTTAAATCTGTCCTGACTTTAATGGGCTACATTTCATACCAAGGAGCAACATATAAAGAAATGAACACTAAGGATTTTTTTAAAAGCAAAAAAGCCCTCTTTCTTTTCCTCAACAAGCGTAACTGACTACTTAATACCAGAAAACTATTTTCTATATTCATTACTATTCCTCTGGCACCAAATTATTCTCACAGAATGAACTCTCAATTACCACTGTAAATTCCAACACTGGATAATTTAAACACCAATCCAATATTCAAGGAGAGGGCTCTACTGATTGCAATATAATTAATTAATTTAATTACACTTGTGGAAAGAGTAAGAACTTTTAAAACTCAGATTGGTAATTTTTTTTTTGTGGAGAAAGATTATAATGTCATTTAAAATAGAACAAAATTTCTCTGAAAAGCAAATAATCAATTTTGGTTTAGTGTTTATGAAACTTACTATACTACACATTTGTGTAGTTTAAATGTAATACAATTAAGAAATTATTTAGTACAACTCTCAAATCATGAACACGTAATCAAAGGTATAATATTTTGAAGAAAATGTACATATGTAGATCTAACCATCATGCCAAGTTCAAGAATGACATTTGTTAGTGGGGAAAAGAAATATTGATGCTTGGATTCTTTAAATCAGTATATAACATTGTATATTGTACTATGCTGCAAGGTTTTCAAACAAATCATCATTTTTCTGATGCGTGTGCTATATAAACATCCTTGAATAAATATTGCAAAGGTTTGAACAGGGTGAAAAGGATGGAAATTTCAGACTTTAAAGCCAATGCATCAAATCCCAGTACTTGCAAGTTTTATAATTGGCATTACTTTAGCTCAATATCTTGGATTGTATTACTTAAAGCTCTATTAAACCAAACTATTAGTGAAAAGTAGATAAAATCTACAAATCCTCTACATGATAAGCCATTGTCTTTCAGCCATATACAGCTTATTCTATGCATCTGGTAACTAGATTTTATCTGCATTGAAACATAATATCTATTAAGAATCCACGTTCCACTTATCAAACCGAGAACTGCCTATGTTTTGGTCTCTATTTCCACCTACTAACTTAACAAGAACCCACTGTGTGTAAGGAAATTGGTTTGAAGGTGAAGAGAGATGTATAAACTGCAAAGATATGGAAGGCAACTGAGTAACAATTATGTTAACATTTACATTCTAACAGAACATTTTTCTCAGCATCTTAATGACATTTGCATCTCGTAAGATACTCCATTAGAATACAGCCCCACATTATTTCATCAGCATTACTTAACTACTATATGGAGTTGCAACAACTGGCTTACTAATTGGTCAAAACCTTTTATTATTACTATCCCTTCTCTTCAGAGCACTTCACCTAGGTTAGGAGATGCTGCAGGAAGTACTAGCAGCTAAGAGATTTATTTTCTCCTATGTTAATCTGTTCTCTTTTCTTTCTGAATTACCTGAAAACACCTATACAGTATAATATAATTTTCATAGTCATACAAGATTTGAGAATACAAATTTTAGCCCCTGAGTTAGTATCTCATGTTATCATGCCTACGTATTTGACTGTTTAAAGAGAAAGTGCAGGACAATATTATGTGTTAATTCTATAACATCAGTCATATAGGCTGCATGGTATAGTTATATAATTACCAAAGTATATCAGCTGTAGACCAGTTTGGTTCTAGTTATGTTAATTGGATTTCTCTAATCTACTTTTCCTTAAGAGTCTAAAAGGAGGGCATTTTTTAAAGTGACAAAACTAACAGCTACTGATATCACATTCAGTAATGCAGCAAGTATTATTTAAGACTGACCAGTCCCAATATGTATTTTCACACTGACAGGATAATTAAATAAAGAGTCTGAATATATGCAAACGCCATAGGCAAAATATTAATATCACCCAAAAGCAATTTAAACACAATTTTCAGTGCCCCCCCCCCCCCCCCGGATTATTATTTATTCATGGGAAGATGGGTAAGATATATCCTTGGCAAAGATCCAAATGCTGAATCATTAAATGAAATTTTAGGTGATATGTAAACCTGTATGAATTAATTCTAAACTGGTGTTAAATTATGAGGCTATTGATCACACCCAGCCCAAAGCATCATATTTCTCCCAAATGCTCCAACCAAAGCTGAAATACAGATTTTGCCATTTTTATTAGCAGTTCTTAACAGAATGCCATCTTGAATTAATTCATCTTCTATAGTTGATATTTCAAATGACGATTACAACAGTCCCAGAAGGAAAATAAATAATGGACCCATCACTTATTTTAGCACTATTCAATCAGTCCTTGAACATATAGATTATTTCCATTATTTCAGAAAGCAAAGGTTCCTGCAAGCAAGTCCCTGAATTAAATGTTCTCTGCTATTATAGGAAGAACAAGTTGTAATCGTTAATTATGTTCAATATCACCTTCCAGTCCAAGATCCAATACAAAGACTGAACTTTATAAGCTTTTACTGGCATAGTACTGTACTATAAATTCATATTAATTTAATATTGCAGGACATATTTAGTGGGGAATCTTATTGAGACATCATATAATATAATACAAATCATATCATCTAAATGAAAAACAAATAATGGTCATCATGTCTGCATCATCAATTTTAGAGATATATGCTATACTTCTATTTCAGTTATCATTCTATCTTCCCCCTCAAATTTTTAAATGTTGAAAATATTAATAGAAAATTCAAATGATTTCTACTAGCAATATTCCAAGTGCATTTTTGATGGTGGTGGTGGGAAGTTCATAATGCAGTAAGTGCAGTGTACAAAAACATTAAAAAAAATCTATACATTATAAAACTAGAAGCGGACTCTTTTTTGGTGCCCTTTCAAAATAAGAAACTGTGAATTTCATTTTCTTTCTTGGTTGTAAGTTTGCTTATATCTTTCCTTTATAATACAGGTTATAGGAAAATCTCTTTTTGGAATGAGCATACTGTTTTGCTTCCAAGATACAAATATGATGCCCTCGTGTTTTGGGTATTATCAATGTCACGGTATCATGATATCAATATCAAGTAGGCATTATTTTGTTACTTATATCGGGTAAATAGAAAATTTCCATATCACAATCCTCAAGATTTTTCATAAGGATGACAAATTGTAGAGGACTGCCTTTTTTAAATTCCAAGAACATAATATTAAATTTGAATTGGAAGTAGCTCAACATCATTAAATCAAATACTTCCACAAATTTTCATATTTTTCATGTTCTCATCTGCAAATTATTTATGAGGAACCCATGTTGGGCATAACGTCCAGTTTTATGTGCTAAGATTACTGTAATTTCTTAGGCTGTTTCATAAAATGAAGAAAAAATTATCAGCAGATTCTACCAAATCTTTTTTTTTTTTTTTTGGCACCTCTGAACTGGACTCTGCCAATAGACATAAGGGAATGTAAAGAGCTTAGTTTGATAATCCCATGTTATGAATTTTCTTATATTAATTAATCACCTGTTATTCAACATGATTTTATGAATCACTACATTGACAGAGTAGAATCCGAGAGATAACCTTCCAGAATACATGTGAAAAATCTTTTTTATATCAAACACCAGATTTTCCAACATAATCAAATTGATCACTTGTACAACAAAAAAAAATCTTCAGTTCCTCTGCCAGTTTATGTGCAGTCAGCAAGGTAAGGCTCATAGCAAATTTAATTTCTAGTCCAAGTGCTTAAATAAGAAGATATAATATAAACCGTTCCATGTTTAAGTTTCTAAGTATGAGACTTAACAGTCCATGAAAGGAAAAACATCAGTCTCAAATTGCTCTGAGGCCATTCAAAGACTTCCACGGAAAGCACTGATAAAAAGTTCAAGAAAAAACATTTTGTAAAGGGATCAGAATGGTAAACAGATTACGAGGTCTCAGATTCTATCTTGTAAGAACAGGTTTTTGTATTTTAAATTATTCCATTCATTTAAGTAGACTTAAAAGATACTAAAACATGCAATATATGTAGTTCTTAAGCCCATTTCTACTCAAGGGTCTATGTCCCTAAGAGAAATGTGCAGTTTAACAGAAGACCACAATAAGCATTAAGAACTAATTACCGCATTTGAATTAAGAAGGAAATCACTTTTGTTAATATATGGTGAGCCTAATGTACATTAGAGATGCTTATCTGGGATTTTCAATCTAAAATTGAGAATAACTTCTGGACAGACATATATTCTAATATTTAGTCATCTCAACGCGTAAGTGGCTTTCAATTATCATAATTGCTGAAATTCAGACAACCTGACCTTAGAGGCTTTTGTTATAAAAGCACACCACCTATCTTGCAACAAAAAATATCCAGTGTTTTCTAATAAGCATAGCTATTTGTTTAAAAGACAAGATTTAATTCTCCCTTTTCCTTGTACTGCTCTTCACTTTTCAAATTCCTAAAATCTGCAGTATATTTCAGAAGAGCAGTTTTTCATCCTTTTTAAGGCAGAAAAAATATCATTGGATTAAAAACACATTTAAATACTTCACTATTATTAATACTGCTCAGCATACACAGTGTAGTAGTAGTGATATTAATATCTCACATTAATAAGATCAGGATGTTACAGGAGAGGATGCCATTCCATCAGCAGAAAGTAAACATGAATTATTCCATATTATTTGAATGAAGCAATTCCTCTCCCCCCCATAACTAGATAGCCTTGTCTGATTACAAGAAGCAGAACTGCAATTTTCTAGGTGCTGTCTTAGCTTTTTTTTTTTGCTTAGAGGTTGAAAAATAACAATTTCTCCTTTCAGTAATATTAACTTCTATTCTGAGATGTCCTTCAATTATTTTGGTTATATGCTCTGGAAATAGGCTAAGAGGAATTAGGCAAAAGCAATGTGCATGTAATTTTCTTTTCAGAAAATGAGGACAATAATTTGCTTTTTAGATACATT